GTCAGACCTTCATTTGTAAATAAGTTGATTCCTCTCTCTGAATAGAAAGTTAATTTGACTAAGCAGGCGTACTGTTACATGTTAACGTGTTATCACTTCCATTCCCTACTCATTCGTAGCAGTTTTACTTTGAAGAAGTGACAACAGTGACACCACAGGTGTTTTATGGTATGGTCGATTTTAAGCCATAATTTTAAAACCTTATATGTATTTGATTACCAATCTATTGAATAAAAGTAAAGGCACTAATGTTAGCATTTTAACTGTAATTGAACTGACAAATCTATAAGTAATGCGGTTAAATTTTTTTAAATTTATTTTTGTTGTTGTTGGATTTAGGTAAATTGTTGCATCTAATTGGTCATGTGTCCATGAACTTTAGATTTGACATTAAATTTGATTTGACATTAGATTTTGATACCACTGCACTCTTCACCCTAGTCACAGTATATACATCCCCAGAACTGTTGTCCCAGTGGCAGCATTTAATAGTAAGTCAAAATAAATAAATAAAATAACACAACATAAAATAGGTTTGTGGGAGTTTTTTTTTTGCCCACGGTGGAGTCTCTCAGGCTGTGTGCAGCAAGATGCTTCTTTTATCCATTGATGGATGGATGTGTATGTTGTAACCGTCTGTAGCCTGCAGGCTCCTCTCAGGGTTCTGCTCAGGTTGGTGACAGGTTGATGCAAAAACCTCTCAGGTGTTCCTGTCCCAATTTTCTGCTGTGACAAAGACATTTAAGCTGCTTCAGGGCCGAGAACGTCTCAGGACAGCAGGGCAGTGGTCAAGGACTCCAGCCATGGTCACTTAATCTCCTGCTGGATGTTGGAAACCAATGGTTTCTTCTTTGTTTTAGCTAGGATGACTGTGTTCTGACTAACCTTCAGTTATGGCTGGCTGAGTTCATTGGTTTTTATCTCAGTAATGCATCAATCATTGCCAAATGCCTGGGATTTTTGCACTGTTGGATTCTACCGCGACACCCTGCCACAGCTTGGCCTCGGACCACCTCGCTCTCTGTCACAGAGCTGCTGGACGTTAGTCCGTCACCCTCAGCTGACACCCACTTCACTGTTTGCAATATTCATGGAATTCTGGACTTGTAAATATTAAATAAATCATTGAACTCCCCTTTAACTGCCGGCCTGTGCTGCTTTTACCTCCACTCCTGAGTTTCTAAAGTGACTAAACCTTACAACCAAACTGAATTCTTTTCCAGATTTTTTTAGTATCTTTAAGTGTTTGTTAAAATACCAGCACATCATTCAATCATTAATATTATTTTTTTTACATATCAGTGTGACTAATTGCAAAGAAATCTTGATGTTAACACCAATTAATCATTTTAAATGTTACCAAGGTGGTTTTTATATTCCAGCACTGACTCAAACTCAAACTTTTTTGGGATACTTCAAACTCTTTTACGTCAACATTTTATGGCCAGGATTGAAGTAACAGTCTTTCTTTTCCTTTTATCTGCTCCTGTTTTCATGAGTCTGTATTCTGCAAACATACATTTGGCAGTATTTATATGCCAGATGTTCTTCCGCACGCAATCTTTTCCATTGATTTGCTTTTAGGGACTGCACATGTCCACTGAATTGCTCCAGAAACACCTTGAAGGTGGGAGTAGGAACACTATTTATAGTCTGTGTGTCGGGGCAACGACGGGGAATCAAAGTCTCCTTGTTGTATCTTCTGTTTATAAAAAGCTGTTTTATTCTTATTTTTCAGCAGCCATACAATATTGTGGCATTATTATACTTGCTGCAGTGTCTCTGAGGAGCATATTTGGTTCATAGGCAGCACTAATCCAACAGAGCCAACCTACAAATAGCTGCGCCGCGGGCGTCCATCCTGTTGTCAACATGGAAAACTATTCAATGGAGCGTTTCAACAGATATATAAAATTTTGTGACCAGCTGTTGATTTTCCCTGACATTGAAATGTAGAACTACCGTGATATGCAGTCTGATGTTAGTTGTCTGGCTCAGGGATACACAACAGGGATTTAAACCCTCGCCTTTATGGTGGACGCTGACCACAGTTTGGAGGAATCAAACTCCTTAGCCATCGCAGTCTGCCTATTTTTAGCTTTTTGTGCCACTGGTCATTTTTTGGACCTTGATGAACTCTGATAACTCTGCTGAACTTTCAGCTAACTTCTCCAATTTCATCCAACATCTTTGGATGCCTAGTTTCACTGGTCAAACTCCCATAAACCTGTTCTACTTGGTCAAAGATGTAGCCGTTGTATGTGCTGACTGGACGTTTACCCTTCAGTCAACGACCTGTTCTATGGAGCGTAAGTGTGTTCAGATGTTTCACTTCATCTTCCATCAACACCCGCTCAAATCTGACCCTGGCTCAGATGATTTCCCTGCTTTTCCTGGCAACTCATCATTTCATCCAAAGGACAGTTTCCACGTTTCAGGATATTTGATTTTTACTGATGTAGAAATCTGTAACACATTTTAAAATTCCTGTATATACTAACCTTAAAAAGTCAAAGCCCCTGAATTTCTCCTCATATTTTAATTCAGGACAGGAGGCGTTCATGATATTTTTGTGCTTCACTACATAGATCAGGCCTGGGCAAACTTTAGATAGATGGAGCGTTTATGTGAACCAAGATAAATGACATGGAAAAGTCATGCTAAAATGCTTTTATCATTTCCTATGCCATCTATTGGGGAAATGTGGGTATTGCAGGGAAAAGACAGAAGTATAATGGTAATATAAATCAATTATATAATTTGGAAAAGTTTGGTGTGCTGTACCTTAGATTTCCCATTCCTGACATATATCCACACAAGTTATGGACCTCTCTCAACACATAACTTTACATTAACCTTTTGACATTATTCAGCATTGGTACTGTTTCTGTGTTTCATGTGAGCCCACTTCTACACAGTGGACTGTAGTTATTTCCTAAAGCCCTTTTAGTCCAATATCCAGATAACGGGACTCTTGCAGGTATTGAATAATGTATACATCACATCCTGGTGTGTACACAGTACATAGTGTTCCGTTCACTGGCTGTATTGCAAGGCGTTGCTGTATTGGCATTTTAATGAGGCGTTAGCATTACTTATATAGTAAAGGAAGTCTCTTTATCTTTAGAAGTAGTGAACTGGACTACTGTAGTTTCTTAAGGCTTCTTCATTCTAAAGGACTTTTCTGTGTATTGTACAGTACTGCTTGGAGCAGTAAACAACCTGTGTGTGTGTGTTATCTACACCTGTACATTTAAAGGGATATTGTAGTGTCTTTATTTAGATATTTCCTTGCTGCTGTGAATTGACTCAGGACAGACGGAAAAAAACCCATTAATTTCAGTGGTCCTTAAACTTCCTCTATCCCCTCCCCCCCGGTTCATTAGAACATTTCCGCCGCCCCCACACTAAAAAAAACAACAACAGGACGCGCACACACACGTGTTTTGTTTTCAGACTCCTTTATTTCCCACATTTCAAAATGTAACTGTATGTTTTTACGCACATTAGACTTGGCCTTTTTATGCTAGCACTGGCAACTTTGGTCAGTTGGCAGGAGTGAGATTTTGCGTGTGGTTGTTACTGGTGCTCCGAGCAGATCAAACGGGCGACAGAAAAATCCAGAGCGAGAGTTAAAAATAAGCTTTATTATATTGTCATTAACAGATATTCAGTTTACACTGCCGTCAACCAATCTTCTCTCGTGTTAATCTGCTGCGCTACCTTTCATTTATTCATTCCATCCGTGCGCCCCTAAAATGACACTGCGCCCCCCACTTTGGGAACCTCTGCATTTTCTTCTTCGACTGTTCGTTTGTTTGTTTGTTTTTTAGTACAAATAAAGTCTCTCTATTCTATTCTATCCGCACTCCCATATTTAGCCCCCGTGTTCGTCCAGCTTACACAGGTCCTGGGTCTCAGCTGCTGGTTGATGCCTGCAGGAAACAAGGGACAGACAGTGAACTCTCTCCAGTCTGGGCGCCGTTCTGCTATCAATGTCCAGCTGTTTCAAAATGGACAAGCTTCTTGTGGTAACACAGTGTCGACAGTCGGTGCCAGATTGGCTCTGGTTGAAAAGTTCAGCCGTACCTGAGGGAATTCTCCACGGGTCACTCCAGCCCAGTGGCCTTGAATGGCCTCCCACTTTTCCCACTGACCTTTTCTGCCAGTTTGGCTGTAGATTCTCTGTTTTTTTTTTTTTGTTTTTTTTTTGTTTTTGTTCATTCTGAGCTCCTGTTTCTTTTTCTTTTTTTTTTGCTCTGAAGATCCAAATCACTCATAAAACCACATTAAAGTGACATAATTACTCCCTTGTTCATATCAAGTGTTGGTGTTTTTCACTTGCCCTAAATGTAGAAATCAATACTGGGGAAAACAGTCAGATCTTGTTCTATGCTCCTGTGCACCTGAGAAGATCCAAATCATTACTTCTTTTTTTTTAAACTCAAGTCACACATGTTGTGATAAGTGGTGACAGTTTGTGTTCAACACCACAAAGGAATCCCTCCTGGGGTCATCCATGAAGGTCAAAGATTGACCAAATACTTTTGAATCAAAGGATTTCAGTGTTTCTCTGTCAACAGTCCTTCTTGGGCTACGTATATTCACTGAAATGTTGGACAAAGACGATGGTTAGGTGCGACCGTGTTGGACAAACTGGTTTTCACATTTTCTTTAGTGCAGATTTAAAAATAAACACACAGACTGGTATAAGATGGTCTATAAATTATAAAAAGTTTTCAATTTCACCATCTTTATCAACTGTATTTCTTTATCTTGAGCAGCTCTTTCATTATGGTGGTTAGCACAGAGGTGTCAAACATACGGCTTGTGGGCCCAAACCGGCCCGCTGGGGTGTTCAATCTGGGCCTGCTTGATGAATTTTGAAAATAATAAAAAAAAATACATAAATGCTTCATGTTCAGGATATTTTTATAGAATTATATTTATTGAAAAAGAACTACTTAATAATAATAATTATAACAAATATTGAATGTACTTGTATTTCTTTGCATGAAAACAAAGGGAAGAAAACATGGACTTTTTGTTATTTATGGGTAATTATGTTATAAATTGTACTGTTCCGGCTCACTTGACATCTAATAAGGTTGTATGCGGCCAGTGAACCAAAATGAGTTTGACACCCCTGGTGTAGCGGTTATCACACTTGCCTTACATGCTGGGTTTGATCCCTCGGTGGAACTTCTTTCTGTGGTACTTGTTTGTGAGGGAGGAGCCTGTGATTGGCTGATGCCCGTAGTTTGATGAGGTAACGGCTGGGACCTACACTAGTGACATCACAGTCTCATTGGAATATTCAAGCGTATCAGAATGTTGGAAAACCTTCTGCGGGACAAAAAAAAAAAAAGTAACCAGTGTGGGTATTAAAATGTAATGTTCATCTAAAGTCACGTTAAAATAATCCGTGCGTATCCTTTAAAACTCAGCCACTGAAAAGGTAATGACCATTGACATCAGAGACGGTGATTCTAGGGTTTTAATCAGGACGGGATCTGTAATGTGAGTGATGCACTTTCACAATATGGTCCAGAATTCAAATCCTCTCTCTCTCTCTCTCCGTCTTTCTCTCTCTCTCATTCCTTCACACACACACAGGTGAAACTATACACTGACAGCATGTGTAATCTCTTTTTTTTTCTCATATTGCACATAAAATGAAGTTTGTACAGCGTGAAAGAAGGAAACCGAGTTAAACAGCCGCAGAAACGCACCCGTGGACAGCCGCTGCGTCTGTGTCCTTCTGGGGACCCTGTACGCCCGCTAACGAGGTCTAAGGGGAAGGCGTGTGTGTGTGTGTGTATATGTGAGCGGGTGTGTGTTTGTGCTTTGTATGTATGCAGTACACATTTGTTGCCACGGGAGAGGTGGAGAAGAGTGATAAATTGAGCTGGCAGACACTGAGGACACATCTGTCCCATCCTCAGAAAATCAGAAATCCTGTCCTCTCTGTCTCGCTCTTGGATCACGCTGTAATATGAATATGTGTGTGTCCGTGTGTGTGTGTTTGGGTCCCTGTTCCTTGCAGCCTTGCTTTCTCAGGTCCAACAAAGCTGGAGAGTGTGAGCGAAGCCGCACAAAAGGACTCACACGCGTCCTCCACACGCGTCCTCCACACGGCGAGCTCTGGGAGTAAAGTCACCGTGATCCAAAGCTCGAGTGTCATAGTCTCCGTCCTACTTATTTATCTGTGTCCATCCCTCCGTCCCATTATTCCTCGCCTTCTTCACCCTTCTGCGTGTGTGTCTGTGTGAGGCGGTTAATTGAATGTCCTCCAGGATTTGTCCCTCTGTCTTGTCTGGTCTCTGTCGTTTGAACGTCTGTTGGATGGCATTTCCCGCTAAGCCGTAAATGTGTATATTTATATGTGTGTTGTTGTTGTGTGTGTGTGTGTGTGTGTACATGTATGTTTGTGTGTGTGTGTGTTTAGATTTGCTTGATACAGAGTAGAAACATTGGCAGGACGGACACACACACAGTCACAGAGATGTGCAGGATGAGAACAAGTGGAGCTGATTGGCTGCTGCTGCTGCTGCTGCTGCTTTTGGGTCGTGCCGAGTCCTGAGAGTCTAATGAGCTGTGGACCAACAGAGCCTGAAGAGGGAGGGAAACAAGATGTGGAGAGAGGGAGACACGCAGTCAAACAGGAGACAAAAAACCTGTTCAGACTGGAGCTGTGGTAAAGTCCAAAATACTTATTTGTAACTTAGTCTGTAGTGAAAGTTTTCAACAGAGCAGTTACAGTACACGAGTGGTACAGTATAGTAGAAATATAAGGGATATGCAGTTGAGGTCTCAATAAAAATATGTCTGCCAGCTGGGCACCCCACCATATATATATATAGTCCATATATAGTCCATATATAATCCATATACTTATATATATATATATATTTATATGTATGTATATATGTGTACAGTATGTGTGTGTGTGTGTGTGTATTTGATGGTATGACAAATGTACAGTTTGAAGCTAATTTAACTAACTGATCCCTCACTGTCTTACTGTACAACAAGGCTGATGGAGAAAATATATACGTTTATTCTTTCTGGGTTTCAATCTTGCAAGTCAGTTGCAAAATCGACTACACTGTTAGGAAAAATAAAGAGCTGCAGTAATTTGTTATAAAGGATTATTGCTGTTGGTATTTATAAAGTAGATTTTAGCCAACGACTTTATTGTAGTAACTTTTATTAATTTCCTTTTTGGTGGTGATTAGGCTAATTTGTTATATGTCTGTATTGTACCATAAAAATATCTGTGAGGGATAGAGATTTTTCTTTATTTGCTTAATCATGGACCAAACAATTAGCTAACGTTGGCCAAATTTTAGCTAAAAATAATTAGTGGGTTATTTATATTTTTCTATATTTTGACTAACTTAGATCTGCTAACTTACATCTAACAAATCTTCATGTTATTTAACTTTTTGCCTTTTATTGCTTCATGGTTTTGCTACTTCTGATACAGCAGGTAAATACTTGGCTCAATGTGAGCAGTTTTTTGGTTAGCTTTTGGCTGTGTTCATTTATTTTGAATAACCTAAGTATTTTAGGGAAATTAATAGGTATGTTGCAGGGTCATATTTAGCTACACACCACATTCGTCAAGGTTTGAAACTACAACATTTTTGATGTCTGGTATCAGATGAGTAAACGTTACTGCAAAAACAAACAAAAAAAAAACCCTCTTGTGATTTTAAATTTTAAATTTTAACTCTATTTTTAGACCCTCGTAATTTTGTGTTCATATTACATTTATAAAGTCATTACAAACAGTAAACTGACTGTGAACTAAAACACCTGTTGTTTTCACCCATTTAAATCCATCTTTCATTTTCCAGCGCTTCTCAAAAAGTGAACACTTCATTACCAACCGTTAGTAACAATCCACCACAAATCCTTTCACCTCCGCCTCCTTTATCAGTGTTGGCAATTATTTGTGAAGCCGTTCTGGCAGTAATGAGTGAAAACACACACAGGAACAATCAGGGAGCTGCTCACCTCCTCGCACTCGTACTCGTCGGAGGAGACGCACTTGTGGCCTACGTCCTGTAAAACAAGAGCTCATTGTGAGACACACAATCGACAATCGATGGCAGCCGGGGTCTCGCCTGCCCACTCTCAGCTCATTAACTTTACCTCGTTAACACCCCACTCTCCTGTTTGTAATTGCAGGAAGTGGTCGAATTCAGAAACGCCGACGAAGCGTCGCAGCCTATGAATATTATTTTCCCTGACAGACGGCAGCGTCTCCTTATTGTGACTTTTAGTGACGGTGATAATTACTGGCTGTCAAACAAATGTTCCATCTGCTTTATAGATCTCCTTTTGATGTGTGTCCTCTAATTTTCCGCCACATGTTTAAAGTGATTGCAGGCTTGTTGTCTAACAGACTTGATGTCGGAGATAAAATTTCAACTAGTCCGTAATTATACACACATTTCTCACTTGGTTTTTGCGACTCAAATAAAGTAGACGAGGACACAGATCAACTTCCTGTTCAATAATACTTCATTTACTACAGGGAGTAGGTTAGTATCTAGTGCCTGGCACAGCTGCGGGTCATGAGCTTAGCAGCCCGACACCTACAGTATATAATCGCATATAAGCCAAATTTAAAACTCCAAAAAAATAAAGATCAAATCGGTTGGTCAGCTTATATGCGCATAAATACCTGGGACAGCATTGTCCATCAATCGCATAATCACTGATAATAAACAGTCAAACGTATGGTCAAAAATATCATTACACTTATAAATAACTTCAACCACTGATATACTGTAATGCAAAAAATCACGTCCATTCTGAATTTCGCAACAAACAATTTGAACCTAAACAGCGTTTACCAAGATAATTTTTGAATTCTTTGTTGAGGCACACAGCAGGAGTAAATCATTTTGCCACGGCAAAAAATGAAAACATTATGGTTGGCCTATATCTAAGTCGTCTAATATGCAAGTATATACGGTAATACACACAAATACCCAGATTCCATTCCGTTCTACATTTTAGAGATTTGAACTTTTTGAACCATTTTCTTCAAGTTCTGGTAAAACCCCACTGAGTGAAATATAAAGGGCCCCAGAATATATCCCTGTGGTACTCCTTACAAAATCAATTTACACTTGGATGGAGTTTCTCCTACAGGATTGGGTTAAACAATGTTTTGGTGTTTGACATTCAATACATGCTATGGACATTAGAAGGGTATAGTTATTTACAACTTGACGCATAATAAAGTTTATTTCATTTTAGTGTTTTCCTTCCAACTAAATGACATGGTTTTATTGTTAAAGCCTCACGCTGAATCTTGCTTTTTTTGATTGTCTTAATATAACTTATTGTTATTTTATTTTTTCTTGTAAGAAGTTATTTATTTATATAGTTATTTTATTTTTTCTTGTAAGAAGTTGCAGACAAAGAATAGATGTATTATTAATGATTACACACAGAGTGCTGATGCCTGAGATTTGAGATCTAAATGAACACACACTGAAGCCACTCTGATGTAGATACCAGCACCTGGGGTGCTTATTATATGGCCCAATAATCAAAACAGGATTGCCTCCTGTGGTGGACAGATATCTTCTTCCCTGGGAAGAGCCTTCATTAAGTGTGACAGTGTGTGTTGATGTTGTATGTTAACTGGGGTAAACAAAGAAAAAATGATGTTATTCACGTTGCTGGATTTACATGACACTCCCAAACCGAGCGCAGGTGATTTGGAATTCCACATCTACTCATGTCTTTGTTGTTACTTGGTATAAAATCCTATATGCAAATACGAATGCAAATTCTCCGGTTTGAGGACTGGAACACATTCATCTCGTGTGTCAACACGGACACACGTTCGCTGAAGGCACGTCGACGCTCGCACTTCATTTTCACGTTCCTTTTCTGGCATCAATCTTAAGGATTTTATAAACTATTGAAACATATCTAATTCACCTTTTCCCTCTGTGTAAGAGCAGCTAAGCCTCGTGGGTATTATAGCATGTAGACATGTATGGACGAGGAGGAGGATGAACATGGTCTAAATAATTTAAACTGGTGGCCAGGACATGAATATGTATGACCACCACGCTCGGGAGACTCACATGACTAAAAGACCACATGAATATTAACGTTTTCAAGTCTATAGAAGTCAACGTTGCTTCACTTCGAATGCGAAAGGGAATGCACTGTCATTCAAATGGAGCGCAGTAAACACACACACACACACCGTCATTTATCTTCCATCAGCTTCTTGGTCATTAGCATATCTCCTCCCGCCGCCTGGATGGGAGAGCCAATCAGATGTTATCACTTTATGAGTAGAAGGGAAAAAAAAACCAGAGGACTGAAGAAGAATTCAAGTCTTTTTAGTGAAGTGTTGAGCAGCTGAGGGAAGGCTGCACATCGCTGCACAACTCTGTTATTTCCTCTGAATATGCTCTGAACACCTGGGTGTTATAGGGACGACAGCTCATTAACATATCACCACTTGCTGTAGCGACCTTCTGACACCTGACACAAACCTCTGCTGTCAGTTTCCTGAACACAGCAACAATCGTTACGTGATCTTGGAGAAGTTTCGCGAACCCGGCTTCACGTTGTCTTTTTTCTGAACAACGCTTCGACAACTTTGAAGGTCTTCTTTGGTAGGAATAGTTTCCCCGCAACCAGGGTCAGGAATTAGCAAGAGCTCAGAGACTTGATATATCCTTGAAATATTCAATACTGCCCATGAAATTTGCATTAAGGTGGTTTTTAACAGTCTTATAAAATAGAGGGAGAGATGTTGCTAAGGCTGACCAAAAAAGAAAATCAAATCAAAGAGAAAGCGAGGCTTTAAGAGCAAACTATTACCTGGAAGAAGTCCACATCTAACTGGCATTGCTCCTGAAACACTCACTGTTGTAGATTATGGTTTGAAAAATCAAGATAAAAATAAAATAGCATCAGTTTAATAAAACTGACTCATAAATAAATAACCCCCCAAATCAATTCTATGATAGAGCAAACAGGGACAGTTTTATCACTGATATTGTGATACGTTCCACCTGGCTGTAGAAGCAAATACTGTATATTTACAATATCTGTTATCTTTGCTATCATGGCGCTCCGTTCGGGAGGATTTTTTTTTTCTTTACCATGTTGACAACAGCAACAGCAAGACAACATAGTATCATTGTTGTTTTCTAACTAGTGGTCTAGAAGCAGAGTCAGCTCGTAGTGATGGAAGTCAGTTCACACTGACTTCTAATACGGGATTCGCTGAGCACTTCACACGTGTTTCTGTTCGCAATCAGAAGGCCCATGTGCGTTAATTTTGCGCGATTTTGAAACTGATCAACGCAATGAGTGTTGAAGTGATATCTGGGAATTTGTTTCTCCTTCCGATGGATAACAATAAAAAGCAAGACATATTGCATGACGCAGATCGAGTCTGAAAAAGAATTGGAGACAATCTATCAGCGATCTGCCAGATGGAGACTTGCACTGAAGAGATGGCAACGAGTGGGAAATGTGCATGTGTGCTACTTTGTGTGATGGCTGAAAGTAATTCAGAGGTTTGAAATGCGGAATGAAAAGTAGTTTTTAAGGCTTTGCACCCAAAATTAATTAATTAATAAGGGACTGAAACCACCAACTCAAGGTGACTTAGTTATTAGTTGTACCATAGTTCAGGAACGAGAGTGCAGTACTTTGCAGTGTGAACCCAAAGCAGGAGCAAAACTAGCATTTTTGCAGCAAATACCGCATCAAGTGCCAAGGTGAAAACAGCAACAGTTAATACACAAATTTGTGGCCCAGAGTCAATGTCTCTGTCATTGGTGTTGAACCCCAGGGTTCACCTCCTGGGTGAAGATTGAATCCCAGTTAGGGCGGTTGGTACCTTCCAGTGGACTCACCACCCACAGGAAGGTTCAAGGGGGTTGGTACGGTGCAGTGGGATTTGGGTGGTGGTCATGGAGACTGCTGCCTCCACGACCCGGGAACGGATAAGCGGATGAAAATGGATGGACGGATGGATGGATGAATACACAAATTTACATTTATGGATTTAGCGGATAGCAGCGAAATGGTTTGCGAAAGGCCCGACTCTTCCTCCTCTCAGTGTTTCTCCTCATCTCTGATGTCAAACAACAGGAGCTCTGTTTCAGACTGGCCTCTCACTTTGCTGGTTTTTAGCACAGTCCTTTGAAACTGCTGACACACAGCCGTTGGTGGTGTTGCCTCATGAACCCCACGTTGCACTTCTGTCACGGAGACTAAATTGTGAACATTTGTCACAATAACACGGTCTCATCATCTACCTCGGCAGTTTTCAACACACCATGGCCAGTCTAGCCCACATTCACCCACAGACTCCTGGGTTAAATTGCCTCAGTTTGTCTTCGGTTACACTTCCACAGTTTTACCAAGAACACAACAGGAAGTAGCCATAGTACTCATACATCATAAAATACTAGAACATCCATAAAAGAAAATACATGGAAGTAACCAGGCTCTGACCCTTTCTCCAAAATATTTATGAGCAGTCTGTTTAAAGAGGAGCTTGAGAAAAAAAAAACTAAACAACTTGATGACTCATCCCACGCCTTTAACCCTGAGTGTGAGCACTTACCATCTGGCAGGAAATATAGAGCTGCGATTTGCAGGCTAAACTATTTTGGAAAGGACTCCCTTTAAGAATTCCTAAAAAAGACATACAATACTGTGCTTCATTATTATTACAGATGATCTCTGCATTATTTCTCATGACTTTTATGAATAAAGTGGTTCCCAAAATGGGGGGCAGGCTCCCTGGGAGATACGTAGCTATGCTAGCTAGGGCGCACACAGCAAGGCAACTTCATTTTCTATTTCAGTGTTTTCTTTTTCTGTGCCACCGTGGGGAAATAACATGATTTGGATTCATGATTTTGCCACAAGAACCGATACTTCAGTAAGTGGATGCCAACACGAGGAACTGGTACATTCTGTTTTTTTTATTTCTAAGTATTGAGAATTGTTGAGATTCACAGGTATTGGTATCGACTACAGAAATTCTGGTATCGGGTCAACCCTACACCTCAGTACACAGTCTAAGCTCTCTGTCAGTCACTGACATACCCTCACTGCATTTGTACTAATATTCTGATTTTGCTTGGTGTATGTATTTTGAATTCCATTTTATTACTTCATTAAGAAAAAAAACCTTATTGCAGTCTATTCATATTCAACTACTCCCGTTTGAAGCGTTGTCGGCACTGAACACTTCAATTATTATAATCTTCTTCTGATTGAGTTTGACACCCCTGGAGTAAACTTTTCTCATAGTGATTACTTTCACAGCTTTTTGATGTTGACACTGTGGGTAGACTATATTTTAACTCAGTCAGTGGAGATATGTCGTTTTCTTATCACGCTACATTTGAACGTGAACCAGAATCGGTACCCATCCATCCATCCATCCATCCGTCCATCCGTCCATCCATTTCCATCCGCTTATTACCAGGTCACGGGGGCAGCAGTCTCTATGACCGCCACCCAAATCACACTGTACCGTAGTAACCCCCCTGAACCAGGAGGTGAACCCTGGGGTTCCACACCAATGACAGAGACATTGCCTCTGGGCCATAGCGCCACTTGAAACTAAACATCAAACAATAATGTGAGACAAAAATTAGCTTTTTCCCTGCTTTTATTTGGGTGTTTTTCCCCCAAATGTTTCTGTCTGGAGAAATTCTGGCCCTGAACAATTACAGTTGGTGACCCCTGCTGTACGGTTTAATTTCATTTCTAAGCCCAGCAAGGTTACGGTTGGATGTCTCATGGATCAGTGGAATGGATCAATAGTGGCAGTTGAATCAGTCACTTCACATGTACAGTCAGTCTGTGTGTTTTAAATGAACTGATGTCACGGTGATAGCATAGCTCTCAGTGAGTGGCTGTAATGTATGCAGTAAATTTCCCCAAGGGCTGAGTGAATTAAACCAATCTAAATTAAATTAAATTAAACCAATTGGCCCAGATTAGTTTTCATGATGTATAGTGAGTATTCCCAGAGAGACTATTAGTAAGACATGACTGCTTCTAGACACATAGCGCGCAATGTGACATTTTATTGTATCTTCTATTAAAGGGACTGCTTTTTTTACGAGTCATGCCGTAATAAACAGAGTGGCCAGATAACAGGTCTGACGAAGGTCTTTAAAGGTTTTATCCCTCCTTTAAATGCCTAACCGTCTACGTGAGTTTAACACAGATTTATCACTTTTTCTCTGAACGTTGAGCTGAAAATAACAAATAATTATTACGTGAAAAGCACAAGTTAAAAGGTGAGGTGTGCGTCTGTAGTCAGGCTGTGAAAATTAAAAAGAAGGTGTTGATGAGCGACAAGATGAGAAGTGAAGCTGCAGAAACTTGTACTTGATGTATTATAGTTATACATACTTAATTATTGTTGTTCTACTTCTTCTCTGTGTGTTTCTTCCTTGATTTTTTTCTTAACCTTATGTACTGGATTTTCTACAACCGGTGCTTTGGTAAAATAAAAAGAAAAGAAAATAACACAACTCTTAATTTAACCTAAATTATCTTCACTTTTCATAATGAATGAGTCACCCTTCCCAGAATTCAAGTGAAGGAATGTTGATTATGATGATGATGATGATGATGATGATGAAGTCTCAAAACGTAGTAGGGTGGAGTGTAAACCCTGAATGTCCTTTTCACATATTCATTCAGTACAGGGGTGAAATTGTGGTCATCTCCCAGAAACCCCTTGATGAGCCGCGGCTGAGTGAGGCAGTCATTGGAAACGTCTCACTAAGTAAATCAGCTGATGCTTTTCCTGTGATTTTTACTTAAAATTTTATAAGTTACATATGCATAATGTGAAGTTCATTTATCTTCCTATTTCAACTCCCTTCCTCTAGTGACTCAACTTCCTCGTTCTCATCCTATTCCTGATGTCACAGACTTTTTTCTTCTTCACTCCTGCTCAGCAGTTTTCCATAATATCCAAACCATCTTGATCTTCTCTCTTTGTTACTTCCAGCTCCAACACATACATTTTTAAACCACAACAACCAAACATGACACACTGTCACGGCACAATGACGAGCCCTGTATCCACACTCATCCATGGTCCGTCCAAAGCATTGCTTAACTCTGACTGGAGTGAGACAGCAGGGCTCAGAAAGTTTGAGTTTGATTATTTAAAAAAAAAATACAATTCACATGTTGTTATTTGCACATACTGTTGGAAGGCGTTTTCTTTCCTAGCAGCCACGTGGAGCTTAAATTATCATCTCAACTCCCTGCATGTGTTTCTGGATGATTCACATTCCGCTCAGACACGACTGACGAGTTGCCTGGCACTATTGGCAAACGTCTGAATAATGTTGTTGACTTCACCAAGTTCTAAAAGCATTATTATATTTTGCTTCAAACAATGAAAGTGAAAGAAACAACTGGATGATTTTTTTAAATTAATAGTCTATGTTTAGTTTGAAGGTTTTGAGCAAAGTATCTCTAATAAGTTATGCCACCATTGATAGATTCCGTGATTTTCCATGGCCGACTTCATAATTCAGAGCCAAACCTAAACTACTACAACTACTACTACAAACAAAACTAGCAGAGAAACATCAGTAAAATGTATGAACCTCACCTGCAGGTTTGCACAGGTGGAAAACATACAAGCGTTGTCCATGGGTTTCATTGCGTCCCCGTGCAGAGATGGAGCAGGTTTGGAAATGAAGGGCGGCTTGGCGGGGGGTAGGAAGGTGGGCGGCGGCTCGGTCACGAACAAAGTGCCACCCTCTGCTCCGTAACCAAAGGACAGGATGGCATTTTCTGTGAGAATAAAACTGAAGTTACAGTACAGCATTCCCTGTAAATGCTAACCCAGATGCCAACCACCCATCATGCTAACATCTATTAGGTTTATTCTGACTTAACTTAGCCAATGCCGGTTAGGTAAAGGTATGGCAACCTAATATGTTTGGCTACGTATGGATAAAGTTGAATAGCGACAAGTAAGGTGGTAGCTAAATGATACTAAATAATGCTAACTAGAGATTGCTAATCTGATTTACACAACCAGTTTCAAGTAACTCAGCTTAAAGTTTGTAACATAATATTGTGACGCCATCTTGACCTAGCCCAGGTGTGGGCAAACTTTTTGACTCGCGGGCCACTACTCACTGTCCTTCAATGGAACAGTGACCCCACTGTTCAGGAACAGAGAGATGGGTTGTTCGTGAAAACTAAGATAAATGACGTAAAAGTCATGCATAAGGGCTAAAGTGCTTAAATGCTTGTATCATTTTCCAGGCCATCTATTGGGGAAACGTGGGTATTGCAAGGAAGGCAGAATTATAATGATAATATAAACCAATTTGGAAAGGTTAGGTGGGCCGGATCAAGAAGCTGAACTGTTCGCGTCTGGCCCCCAGGCCTTAGTTTGCCGATGCCTGACCTAGCCTGTCCATAATTGAAGTAATCGTAGCTGTAATTATGGTATATAATTATGTATTGTATATACATATATGTAATTATACGTTGTTATGTCAACGGTGATCACGTCAGTGAATAGTCGCTAAGGTGGGCTAATTATAACAGCTGTTAAAAACGCTGGCTAGCATTTCCAACTTGTGCTTATTAAGATTATTTCATTGGCTACTTTCATAAGAGCTAAGTATAAACGGGGGAGTACAGTACTCACTGAGGCAGGTGTTGTGTGTGAAGTCGCGGTGGAACGCTTCGCACTCCGGTTCGTGGGTGCCTGTGCCCCTGCAGTTGCACCACAGGCTGATGGTGATGTTAGACGGGCTGCTGTCGCTGTAGTTTGGCGTCACATCAGAACCTGAAACATCAGGTGAGAAAGGACTTTACTGCATTAGGGTTCTTGTGAATATTTCTCACCGTACGGAACAGAGACTTTGAATTTAACGAGAACGGGCTGCACCGAACTGACCGATGAGGCCGACGTAGGACATGAGGCAGCCGTGGTAGTTGTCGTGCGGGCAGCTGGTGACGGTGTGAGGCGTCATTTGGCAGTTCATGTGGAAATCAGCCAGTCGGGACCTGCAGTGAAAACCAGCAGAAAATAATCATTATTAATAAGGTCATGTATATATATATATATATATATATAAAGGTATAAGCATTATCATCCCTCGCAATCCATATGACAACTTTGTCAATCGAAGACTAATTGACTACCCTAACTGACAGGAAGTTGAAGTTGCCTGTACTGGGTGAGATGGTATTTTTAGCTCCCACAGTGTGTGCAACTATGTACTTCATTAACATGTGTATCAACTCTGTATTCCGTATCATGATGGAATTATTGGATACACAGTGCGTGCCATTCTGCCTGTGTGTTACAATAAATCAAATGTTCTGATCGGACAGATCTCAAACAAACAAAGTAATTAATGGGATTAAAGCATTTATTTGGCAGCTCTAATAAACTGTATATATATGAAGAATCATAAACACAACGTATACACTGTTGTGTGACTATGGTTTAGCAGACAAATGGCCCGAGAGAACAAAAACAAACTCCTTTTCATCCTGTGGGTGTTTGCCTTCAGGCTACGGTGTAGCTGCAGCCTGATGGCAGCAGGAAGTGGACGCAGCGTCCAGGACAGCTGTCACTGCCCTTCATCTACACCGCTTGTTTTCCTGCAGGTGTAGGAAGTTGGATCTGATGGTTGGTTCGCTTATTCTAAGGGGTTAAAGGTCGTGTTTTGTGTAGTTGCGCCACCAAGCTGCGATGCTGCCCCACAACGGCCTTCATATGAAGTGACCAGGTCAGAGATGCTGATCAGTGGCAGTTCTACCACGGTAGAAGTACTTCTGCTACACTCTCCCAGTACTGACCCGCTGGAACCACTGGGTGTTTCTTTGTCTTTCTGTTCTCTTCACATCACACAGCAGGTCTTCAACAACATTACTTTAGACTCTGTCGCCCCCTATCATCCTTCATTACCAATCCCCCCCAGTGGTCTTTCCTGTCTTCCTCCTGCCCAGCAGCTCTGTCTCTAACAACCGTGCTCCCCGAACTCAAGATCACATCCAAGAAATGACAACCGTGTCGCGCTCACTCTTCACACTTTCACTTTCATCCTCTCCTGGTGTAGACAAAACCAACACCTGCCTCGTAGAATCACACTGTTGTGAGACAAATTGGGGACAGAGGCCTCCAGAGTAAGGTGTGTTTGTGTGTGTGTGTGTCATGTGTGTCAGCTGCACAGATTATCTAATTTGACAGGCCCGGGCGCTGTGAGTGTGTGTGTGTGAGTGGGTGTGTTTAGAGCATTCACTTGTGTAATCTGCCAATTACGTTGACTCAAGACTGGAGACATAAGCATCATCAACCAAGACGGACTCACAGTGAACACACACACACTGACACTGACACCCAGGTCCTGTTGTTTAAGGGAAGATGACACGTTGAGGGAAGGAGTCAGACCATGAAGTCTGCACCGTCTCAGCTAAGTCGTTGTTTTTGCTCAATATGACATCACTGTCTCTAATTATTTGCCCAGCTCAGGCTCCAACAGTGTTAAAGATCAACTTCAAAATGATTTCAAAATGTGTCCTACGAAGTAAAATGCAGTCTCCTGTTTGGGGACATCCGTCCATGAATATAGAGAAATGTTAGTAAAGACGAGTGTTTCTCTCTGTTTCTCTCAGTCTAATGGTGATTCACCTCCAGGGTTCAGACGTAATGATGTTGGAGGAAACAACACAGGAAGTTTGTGTTTGACGTAAACGGTGCCGCGCGTTTGATATGAGTGCGAGTGCGATTAGCTGTGTTCTTCTTCTCTTTAATTAACTGTCTCTGAGGGCTGCTCCTGCTTCTCATTTGCATATTTGCATATTTACATATTAGCGTAGCTGATGATTCGCTGCCCCTGCCTCCGCCCCCGCCGCCCTCGGTCATGCCTCTGGTTATATGACTTCACTTTGCTGTAAACCAGCCGGACTCATTTAGAGAAGCTGGCAGGAAATGGGATGAGGCGGGAACACACACACATACGCAGACGTGGAATCAGTGAGAGGGTGCGTTGCATTACCGCCACCGTCCTCTGTGACCTACAGAATGAAGGTAGCTATTTCCATCACGCCACCACCTCACCTCACTGACCGTGTAATGGAGCGATGCGGGCGCTAGATTGGCTTCCTCGTCTTAAAAACGCCACTCAGCTGCTGCGGCCGCCACCGCTGCCTTTGGAAAAGTAGTTTAGCTCACCGCGCCTGGGCGCTCCGCAGCGTGCGTGCGTGCGTGTGTGTGTGCTTGCATACATACCACAATCATTAGAGGGGGAGGCATCATTTGATGGGGTCATCAGCAAACGGATGTTTCCTGATGGTAGAGCTACTAGTTCATCAGGCACCGGGATTGGTCGAATGCAAGTGAAGGTCTTGAAGGGTCACAGTGAGCAGGTGTGTTTGTCTAAAGGCAGTGGGCGGCTCACAAACTAACACAGTAGTAAATGGAAATATGAGTTGCACAACTCAACTCGGGTCATGTGACACCTTGCTACCAGTCATAGAGGGCAGTGAATCAGTGGATAGATTGGAATGTTTCCCAAGCAGAAGGTTGAGGGTCACGACCTCTGCCCCTGATGAACCCAGTCACACAATGGCCACAGTCATTGTCCTTCCTAACCAATCCCAAGCCTGGAAATAATCCCTCTTGGTTCATGTTGTTTTATGCAAATATCCATCCATCCATCCATTTTCATCCACTTATCTGTTACCGGCTCGCGTGGGCAGCAGTCTCCACCCAAATCACACTGCACCGTACCAACCCCCCTGGACCTCTCTGCGGGTGGTGAGTCCACTGGAAGGTACCTTTATGCAAATAATATGTAGTGAATATACACCACTAGGTGTAGTCACCCTGACATGTTCGACCGTCCGCCCCCGTCTTCCTCCGAAGTGCCACTTCATGTCACTGCTGTTTTTGCGACGGTGTGGTCACCCCACCGTGAACCGAATTGAGGGGCCATTTCTATTGACCCGCACCTGTGGTGTCCTGCAGAGGGAACCAGGCAGTGGGAGACTTTGTGTCAATATTGGCAGGGGGACCAAGCCTTCGCCTTCTGAGGAAGACCGGAGCTCATCGTCAAAACATGTCACGAGTTAAAACTGAAATTGAATTGTCTGGTTGTAAGAAAGTTCAAGAACATAATTCCAGGTCTGGAAAAGTTGTGTTAAAACATGACGTGACTGAAACTGAGATTCTTTTAGGTCCAGAGAGAAAATATATGAAAACAAGCTGAGGGTTTCTCCGGGGAAATCATTTTCCTCGGGGAAATCAAAAAAATCCAGATTTAAGTTAGGCCCACGGTGGCAAGAAGAGCGCACTGCATAAAGAACGTTTGTATTGAAACGGACAACTGAGTGTGACTGCTGGAAATGTGACCCTTCACCAAGGTACTGCTGAGATTGACTCCAGCTCCCCCTATGGCCCGAAACTGATCATTGGTATAAGATGAATGAATGAATGAATGAATGAATGAATGAAGGTTAAGTGTTGTATCTCCTGTATTTGTAGCCATACCACGTACCAGCCACTGGTCCCATATGTAACTCTGCTTTTGGCTTAATGTCAGTTACATCTGGCTTCATCTCCACAGAGTAACCCGTAACAAGATAAAGGAGATTTAAGGTGAATAAATTAAGGAACTACACATGCGACCCGGGCTCAATTAATGGCTCTGAGCTGTCAATCACACACAGTTTCCTCTCGTAGGCACGACCTATCCTGCTTTGTCATTTTGGTTAAAATGGATAATTAACAATGAACAAAAACGACACATTTGTTCCAATAAATTGAAACACACTGATGTAGCGTTGTTATTTTCAACCACCTTTTGTGTCCTGTGACATGTTATTGCCACAATATCTCCAAAATTTAAATACTGTAGTCAAATTTAAGTGATGGGACGGTTTGTGCCGCATCTATTTCCCCACTACGTTTTTGCGAAGTATCTGTGAGTTGTTAAATACCCAGAAGCTCCACATTAAGGTGTTCTTGTAAGCCAGTAATTCTCAAATAGTGGGGCGGGCCCCCCCTGGGGGCCCCCGGGGGGGGCCCCAGAGGGGGTGACAACGGGGGGTAAGTTTGAGAGGCATCCAATGGAATATGGTCCACTGGACATATGTGCTGTAATGCTCGAACGATAAACAAGCCTCCAGTCACTAGGTGGCAGCAACTCATACAGTGGTTCGTACAGATAAGAAAATACATATTATTAGGTTCTCAAAAGTATTAAAATTTGGGGGCGGGGGGGTATGTGAAAAAAATTCTGTCCCCTGGAGGGGGGAATAATTGAGAAGCACTGCTGTGGACCATCTAAGGAGCAGCCTTAGAATAATTGAGAAGCACAGCTGTGGACCATCTAAGGAGCAGCCTTATTTTTTGCAAAAACATATATTAGGAGTTATTTTTGGAACCAAGCAGGTGGTTGACTGATCTGTCCTTTCATCTACATCCAGGACTTTACTTTTGGATCCAGATGGAGTCCTTTTCCTACGTATATACATGGTCCTGTAATGCAAGAGGTAAGACGTCCTGAGAGATTGCAGGACGAAACACTTTTTCACGGCTGGGAAGCAGTGAAGACACTTCAGCTCGTCTCCCGCCGTCTCAGGAGATCTAGAAATTCTTTGGGGAAGACGCTCGGCACCAACTGGCTGGTGGTGGCCTTGTTCAAGCTCCTTTTTGCTCGTATTAGTCTTTAAGGTGGACTAAAAAGAAGGGTGTGCTCCATCTCGCTCGGCAGCAGTCTCTTTCCAAGAGTTTGCCCCTGTTTCTACGTCCGTTTGTTCCTTATAGCGCGGGGTCGTGCTGGAGAACCTCCTTAACACAAGGTTAATGTCTTCTTTGTGGTTCTCTGATCAAATCAAGAGCGTGGAATCAAATGGAATGGAAAGTGTTTTGCTGCCTTAAGCACGTGCAGTGGACACAAACAGAGGTCGGGGGAGGTTAAAGAGGTGTGTGCAGCGCCTGCAGTCTTTCAGGGAAGGGAGTTGGTCTCCTAAAATATTTCCATAGGTTTGTGTCTGAGGCCTGGTTATGGTCATAAACCAATCCTTGGTTCTTTGTATCAGCTAAATCTGGATACGAGATGCATGTCTCGGTCGTTTTAATATACTTAAAAATAGTAACCAAAATTAGCACAGCCACAATTTCGAAATAGCAGGGATTTTTATTTTTAAACACTAATGCTTAACCAGCACAAATTTGGGGGGAAAATATCCTGAGATTTATTCATGTTTATCCCGTTTAATCTCACTGGCGACAATAGTTGTTTGGCCGTTATCTCCTGTAAGACTCAGCTCAGGTCTAAAGTTGGCCGACATCTCATGTTGTTATTGACTAGTCCATCTATCTATCTATCCCTCCATCCATCCATCCATCCATCTATCCCTCCATCCATCCATCTATCGTCCATCCATCCATCTATCTATCTATCTATCCATCCATCCATCCATTTGTCTATCTATTCATCCGTCCATCCAATCGTCCGTCTGTCTGTCCATCCGTCCATCCGTCCGTCCAATCTATTATATATACAGTATGTATTTTTCCTTTCCTTCAAATCCACCTCAGCTCTCTGTAGATTTCCTCCTGTGTTTCTGGTGGCAAAGACCATATTTAATTACACTTCCTGTCACTCACAGCCTTCCCTGAGCAACCACTTCTTGTGCAGTCTGGTCCACAGCAGGGGCTGCGAGGCGTCCTGCGTGGCCGATAAAAACCCAGAGGACCTGCAGGAGCCGTGTGATTACATGGTGCCGCGCTCTTTCTCTGAGGTTAATGGCTGCAAAGAACAGAGCAAGACGACTTGGCTTTCTGCAGCCGACCGGCCGTGATTCATGTACGTGTGTGGAGCTGGCCTGCGTGTGTGGGTGGTTTATTGGTAGAGGGTGGGCTCTGTGGTGTGACTCCATCCATGCCCACTCACCTACAATTGCCTGTGTAGTTTCTTATGCAAATTTGTAATCACACGAAACATTAAAGTAGTATTTCCTGTCGGTTGTCTGTGGGTTCAAATAAATTCAAGATTCATTTCTGTTGGTAGGTTTTAGACAAAACAACATGATGTTTTGTTTCATCATGTCATTTTCTTTCTCCTCCATCTTTTCTTTAAAATCACCCCAGCAACAAAAGGTTACCCGACAAAAGAGCAGTGTTGATGTGAGCTAATGATCTTAACCCTATATATAGAACATTTGTATCATATTTGCTACACAAGATTCTGAGGAAAACATATTTTTTCCCATATTAAACATATTAAATAATATAAAAATATATATATTTGGAATATTGTTGTAATGTTTCATAATGTTTCATGAATAGAAGAGCTAAGTCTTTAGGGTTTTGTTCACTGAGAAAGTTTCCCAAAAAAATGTTTCACTCTCTCACTCTCATAATCAAATCTAAAAATGCATTTTTTAAATGCTGAATATGAAAATAGGAATTCAAGAAAATCATCACAACTCTGTCCTGTGATGATAAATCGTCATGGTTTCCAATAGTTCTTTCTTGTAAGAAATTTAGAAGCATATGTTAAATTCATCATGAGGTTTAAGATGGTTGACACAGCAGTAGGGGGCGCTCACAACCTTGTCAGTCCTGACTATTACAGCTTTCATTAGGTTAAAGTTGGATCGTTGTCATGTCATGTCAATTTTCTTCATTTCAGTTGTAATTTTGAAAAAGAAAAAAAAAATCACAAAGTTTAACAAAATGTAAATGTTTAGTCTGGAAAAATCAAATTTTAACAAAATGTAAATGTTTAGTCTGGAAAGCAGGCGTTTTGAGAGCCGTTGTTGGTGATATGGTTTGATACCTCTTTTTGTGGGCGGAATTCCCGTTGGCTAGGCGACTGGCTCTATCTTGACATTAGATGACGGCTGGTGCCGAACAACAAATAGAGGCTGAGGTTGACCAATCAGAGAGCTCCCGTGGAGCGAAGGAAATCCTTGGCCGTATTTCAGCCAGCCCTTTGTTTTTAAATGTAAACTAGGCAATAACTTGTTGAAACTTCCACATCAAACCTGTGTGAGATGTGACAGTAAGTAGAGTATCTGTGCTTCTGCCTGTGTATCCCTAACATCATGTTTAGTGTTTGGTTAAAACCTTCCTCCGTTCAGAAAAATGTACCTTCGTGATATCAGTTATTGCCGCCTAGCTTAGCATCGATCCTGATAGCTGATGTTTCAGTGCAGTAGAACAGTACCGGAGCACAGTCAGAAATACTACAACTGCATGATTTTAATTGCACTGGATCTCTAATGAAATCATCTTCATTCCTCTATAACAGACCAGCTCCTGGTTGTTGTAGCTTCGACTATGAGCTTTGGGTGGACAGTGATGACAGTCATCAGAATTACAGCTACGTTGTTCACGCAAACTTTGCAGGCACTAAATGTGACGTTGAAGTGATAAAAGGATATCATGATGGTGTTCGATATAGAGGGAGGGGCCTCATGTTGCAGCCAGGAAGTTAAACAGCTGTTCATGTTGCAGCCAGGAAGTTAAACAGCACCCAACATTGTATTTGAATTGTTGAAAAGTAGTTGCAGATTGGATATACAACTGGTCTTGTACTTATGGGACTTTATATTTTTTGCATCAATAGTTCTAATAATAAACATTAAATAAAATAAATAATAAAGTAATGATGATTTAAAGTAACTAAGTAACTTACTTGAATTAAGTAAATATTTACTTTTACTCAAGTAGATTCTTATGTGGGTACTTTTACTTGAGTAAAATTAAAGCAATGTAAAGATACTTTTACTTAGTTACTTGTTTTCAGTATGTTTTTCCACCTCTGATTATTATGCAGATGACATACAAAGACAAACAGTTGTCTGTGACAGGCTGTATGTGAAACAAAAGCTCGTTGCCGCTTTGAACACTACATGTATTTATTGCTCAGGGCCATCGCCATGGTAACAGCCGACAGCTGAGTCAAACCCAAGGTGCGTTCCATGCGAAACCTCCAACTTGAGATGTTCAACTTCAGTGTTCGATGGCTACCATCAAACTGAAGTGTGCTTTTCCTCCACTTCTTCTTACCTTTAAACCCAGTCTTTAACAACCAAGTTGGTAAAGACTGATTTCACTGATTACTCCCTCTTCATGCTGCGTTATAATCAGTTCCACACCAATCTCTGAGTGACACAGTGAAAAGAAAAGCTCTGTAAAAAAAACAGCAGGTACTTGATTGGCACCAGCGCTCACCTGCAGAGGGCGTCGGAGCGACAAATTTGCCGCAGCTCGAGGCAGGAGGGTTTGTGCCTCTCCTGGTAAGAGCAGGACGGGATGATCGTCCGACGGCGTCGCTCAGCGCATGCCTGGTCAGGGCAGGAGCAGAACAGCAGCGGGTAACTCAGCTCCCACGGCACTCGCTCGAAAAACTGCCGCAGCGCCTGAAAAACCAAAAACAAATCTGGTTTTCAAAACAAGAGGGGACACGGTGTTTCCGAACCTCCTTATTGAGCAAACGATTTCATGACATTTTTTAGCGAAAACATTTCCTGGTTAGCCAAAAGTTAGACAAAGCAAAGATAAAGTTAATTACAAAAAAAGTAAAAAAAAAAAAGTAGCTGATACGATAAAATTTTTGAAAAAACTACTGGTTAATTATTAAAACTTTCTATTTAAAAGTAAAAAAAAAAAAAAAAAAAATGTTATTTCCCCACCTTCTGACACCGCTTTTTGCTGCATGGCTCCTGATTGGGCAGAGACAGCTGTGGGGGCGTGGCCTTGCTGCAGATGGCGGTGTAGGCTGATTTCAGTCGCTTGCACGTCTCGTTGAGGTTGCACGCCTTGGCTGCGTCCAGGCAGGGATTGCAGGGTTTTCCTGCTTCAGAGCAGGAGCTCATCTTCAACAAGGACGAGTCTGAAAATGTGTATGAGATCAAAATAGATTTTCTTGGTAAAATGATAAAAAAAAAAAAAACTTAGATTTTCTTGGTAAAACGATAAAAAAAAAAAAACTGAAACAGACACAAACATGTCTGTCATATAATAGACACAGACACAAACATGTCTGTCATATAATATCCATGATTAAACAAACTACGGCCCGGAGGCCAAAAGCGGCCCAACTGGCGGCCCGCCAAACTTGTCCAAATTATGTGGCCCGGAGGCCTGAAGCAGCCCGTCTGGCTATTTAATCCGGTCCGCCAAACGTGTCCAAATTATGTTATTAATTTATATTATCATTAAACTTCTACCTTTTCCCTGCAATGCTGGCATTTCCCCAATAGATGGCGTAGAATAGTCTAAGAGCATTTGCCCACTAAAACTTTACCTACGCCTGCTCTGGCTCGTTCAAAGCTGATTTATTCAAAAGTTTGACGACAAAGGACCGATACTCCTTAACACCAAAATGACTAATTTAATCAATAAAAGTAGTGATTTTCTCTGTGGGATTTGGTTCAGAGGAGTGACCGTCTGCCCAACCAACGTCAGCTACACGTCTGGTTTGAATGCAGCGTGATAAAACAGGCGGTCTTTAAACTAGATGATAAAAATAGTTTGTGGCGAGCCCGTAGTAAAAGATGGAACTCTTTATATTTCCCTGTTCTGACAGTGACCACTTAGTGTTGTCCGCCGCGACGTGAACACAGTGTGAACACACACTCACACAGGTGTGAGATGTGACCTCAATTTGTTAAATTGCTGAACACAGTTTTGACTGGAGCTGTAACATAAAGTTTGCCGTGATGGAGGGAAAAAAAGAAAAAACTAACAACCTCGAACTGCGATGATGTCAGGGTCAGGTTCACTGAATGTGAGAGATGGAGCGAGGTGACAGAAAAAAAATGGCTGCTGTGAGCTGTCGACGCCTCCATCTGTGGCGTCAGCTCTAATTAAAACACTCACCGCGAGTGCGTGTCGGAGCAGCTGTAAGGTCGACTGCAAAAGAAACAACACGGCGCGGCTACAGTCTGACACTGCAGCAACCCTGTAGATGTAAAATATTTAAACCTGTACTTTTTTCCGTGACACAGTTGGAGTGAGTCTATCAAGACTTTTCCACTGGATGAAAAAAACTGACCTAGAATCAGCCAGAGAGACAGAAGCACAGTCTCAGCAAAAACCTGGAGGTCAAAAGTGACGCATGAGAAAAAGAAGAGATTTTTTTTTATTTTTTAAAGAAATAGAAATAGATGTAAGATGTGGGATAGATGGGGCAGTGGTGGTTAAGGAAGCAGACTTGGCTCCAGAAGGTTTGAGGTTCGAGTCCATCAGCTCAGAGCATGACACCGTCCCCTCACACTGAGCTGCCCACTGTTCACTTTGGTGATGGGTTAAAGCAGAGGTCACAGTTGGTTGTGGACAGTGATGTGCTGTGTCACCATGACAGCCAAAAAGTTTCCAAAAACCAACGCAAATGAAAGAAAGCGAATGTATCATGATTCAATGTATGGTGAACAACAGGGAATGTAAACAAGAGATTATTCCCTGTGTAGTCCAGTGTGACGACGTATTCTTCCACTCCGCTTGCTAACTAATTGCCGTACCTCGGAATGATGGAGCAAGATTTTCTTATTAGGTTCATGGTCAGATAGTGTAGTAAACACAAAATGCCGTAGATCACGGACGTCATGAACAGAGAACCTCCTGTATTTGTTCCAGAAAGCCCCAGAAAAGAGTGGACATCCTTCATTTAAGATTAATAATGACTCTAATGTCAACCAATCATGAATGGACCAACTGGACACTGATGCCAGCGGTACTTTCCATTTCTTCCATGGCCTCATCCTTACGTTTTCTTAATAGTTACTGGGATTAAACACACATTTATCTGCAATACTAAGAACTCATCTAATTCTATTCACACTTTGTGAAGTGTAAATAATCTCCTTTGTCTTTTCTTCCTGCTTCAGTGGTTAGCACAATTTGTCATAGATATTGGATTATTGACCACTCAGTACTGATGGACAATACAAGGATTTTTCAGTACAATACCGATGACTTTTTTGGCGCTTTTTTTTCCAATATCGATAATTTTGTTTTCATAACATAGTCATAACAAATTATCGCAGTTCATTTGTACACAATGTATCTTAATTTGTTTAATTGCTAACATTAAAGGACGAAAATGTCAACTTGACACCAGGAGTCGCTGCCCTCTTCTGGTCAGTGCTCACGTGACAGACAAAAGCCTGTATGTGACACACGTACGTCTTTCATTTATTAATTAGCGTTGATATGTTTTGAGTAACTGACACTCATGTGAGTAGCTCTGTATCGATAACCAGGAATCACTGCTCCCATCAAGACTACAGTGTAATTCTGACTGGAAAATGTGGTTTGCGCTCTTGCACACTATTGAGAAAAGTAAAATCTGCTTATTGTGGCTATAAAATTGTCTTATAAAAATATCCAAACCCAAATGTACAAACTGAGATTTAGTGGGAAGAGAAGTAAGGATTTGATTGGGAGTCGTGCGGAGGTGTGTGCTGAGATGTCCCACTGAAACACACATTTTTAGGGTTGTTTCCACCTACAGCTAACTCTTTTTCAGTCTGGAGGATTTTGCCGAAAATGTAGGTACATTTTCGGCAAAATCCTGTGCGAGTTCATGTCTGAAGGTTTCTCTCAGCCTTTTTCTCAGTTTTACAACAGCTGAAAAAATTATGATTTTCTCTGTAGGACTTGGTTTAAATAATTAAATGAATCGTGATTAATCAAGAGATGAATCCGTTGACAGCCACAGTATGTACATAAAGGTAAAGGTGGACCTAATTGACACAGTATTGCTTTGGACCCCCTCTGTGTCAGTACCACAGTCGACTAGTCTCCAGAAATCCTCAGACGTCTCCTTGAGTAGTTAGCCTGATTTTATTGCTGTTCAACCCCCAGTAAATGAGTCGTTCTTTTCCCCGTAGATGGGACGCTGATGCTCCTCCACCACGCCCAGCGGAGCGAGCGAGCGAGCGAGCAGTGAAGTAGGACAGTCCAACAGAGAGTGTGTTCAGCGTCCATGTCTAAATGAAGCCGTCTCCGTCCCACTGAGGTTTGTCCTGGACTTATTATGCACAACATCTGACGAGAGCACACGAAAAAAAACCAAAAAAAAAAAACACGTTCTCTCCGGCCCGTAAAATGAATCGCTGCCGGTTCTCGGCCGTCCAGGTCTGGAAGACGAGTCTCGTAGGAATTTTATTTGATGGCTGTGGATAAACGAATGAGTTTGGTCTCAGCGGAAGCTGCTACACCAACTGCCACATCAGACATATTGATTTTCAGGAAAGATGGAATCAGTCTTAGCTTGTGGCCGTGCAGCTGTTTGTCTTTCTATAGAATAACTACAGCAGCAGGTTCATTATGAGCTGAATTCAACCAGAGTATAATCTGAAAATGAGACGACTGAGTTTATTATGACGATCAATGAATGTCATTTATTCATCTGGATGATTGGATTTTATTCAAACTGCTTTATATTTACTCAATGAGTGATGTTTTCTCAACTCAAATTTATGTTAGTCAACAAATCAGGTGAATGCACGCGCAGGTGTTCTGTAGCTAACGTTAGCTCTGGTGTCTGTACGAGGACTGTTGTAGCTAATGTTAGCTCTGGTGTCTGTACCAGGATGCGAGTTCATGTCTGAAGGTTTCTCTCAGCCTTTTTCTCAGTTTTACAACAGCTGAAAAAATTATGATTTTCTCTGTAGGACTTGGTTTAAATAATTAAATGAATCGTGATTAATCAAGAGATGAATCCGTTGACAGCCACAGTATGTACATAAAGGTAAAGGTGGACCTAATTGACACAGTATTGCTTTGGACCCCCTCTGTGTCAGTACCACAGTCGACTAGTCTCCAGAAATCCTCAGACGTCTCCTTGAGTAGTTAGCCTGATTTTATTGCTGTTCAACCCCCAGTAAATGAGTCGTTCTTTTCCCCGTAGATGGGACGCTGATGCTCCTCCACCACGCCCAGCGGAGCGAGCGAGCGAGCGAGCAGTGAAGTACAACAGTCCAACAGAGAGTGTGTTCAGCGTCCATGTCTAAATGAAGCCGTCTCCGTCCCACTGAGGTTTGTCCTGGACTTATTATGCACAACATCTGACGAGAGCACACGGAAAAAAAACCAAAAAAAAAAAACACGTTCTCTCCGGCCCGTAAAATGAATCGCTGCCGGTTCTCGGCCGTCCAGGTCTGGAAGACGAGTCTCGTAGGAATTTTATTTGATGGCTGTGGATAAACGAATGAGTTTGGTCTCAGCGGAAGCTGCTACACCAACTGCCACATCAGACATATTGATTTTCAGGAAAGATGGAATCAGTCTTAGCTTGTGGCCGTGCAGCTGTTTGTCTTTCTATAGAATAACTACAGCAGCAGGTTCATTATGAGCTGAATTCAACCAGAGTATAATCTGAAAATGAGACGACTGAGTTTATTATGACGATCAATGAATGTCATTTATTCATCTGGATGATTGGATTTTATTCAAACTGCTTTATATTTACTCAATGAGTGATGTTTTCTCAACTCAAATTTATGTTAGTCAACAAATCAGGTGAATGCACGCGCAGGTGTTCTGTAGCTAACGTTAGCTCTGGTGTCTGTACGAGGACTGTTGTAGCTAATGTTAGCTCTGGTGTCTGTACCAGGACTGTTGTAGCTAATGTTAGCTTTGGTGTCTATAACAGGAGTGCTGTAGCTAATGAGGGCTCTGGTGTCTGCTTAAAACAACAGTGACATTTGACACTGAGCAATTATTTGCACTACTGCCACCTAGTGGTACTACCTTTGCATAATTTATCATCAGTTGCTACTAGGGAGTTTTGAGTCAAAAAATAGTTACTCATTAAATAACGAACTCTTTCAGATGTCAGCAGATAAAGGTCAGATAATTAAACAGCGCAGTTGTAGCTACGTCCCA